ACACTATACTTAGATGAAGAACAAGATCTTGTAGGAGATCCAATCTATGATGATGATCAAAATTTGTGGTTGAATTGATATTTAACTAGGAAAAAGATGGACTCAAAGGAGAATTGAAATGTGAGTCGCTGATCTCAAAGATGCACCCGTGGTGTGTTCTAGAGCTGAGTCTGGGCAAATTCAACATCGTCACATGGCTAAAGTGATGCAATGTGATTAAAATATTTTACCGACAAACAATGACTATTTCCTCGAGGGATTCTCAATTCTAGTGCACAATCATTGGGTTTTGATTAGTGCTGTAACCCACTAGTCTCAGGATCATGTTTACAATATTCAAGTTGAAGAATGTTGCTGGACTAACGCCAATTTCATCTTAGCACACTTCAAAAATCGTCGTCAAGTTTTCTCCAACTAGGGAGAATGATGGAGGGCAAAATTATTCTTATTTTTTATTTTTATTATACTTAAATGATGTATCTTATAGTTTAGTTTTAGGGTTGATTTCTAGGGTTTTTTTAGTTTTTTATGGTTTTTATTTTTTTGTTTACTTTGTAAGTAATATTCACAAGTACTATTCACGTGTACTGTTCATAGAGGTAAAACTGTCATTATAAATTAAGTTAAATTAGGATATATAGGTCAATGTATTATTTGTTTGGATATGCTTTGTACTTTGAGCATTTAATTATAGGGAAAATATCCTATTATCCCCTATTTTTAACTTCTATATCTCATTATCCCCAAGAATTGAAAATATTACTTGTAAGCAAAAAGACTCCATCTTTTCTATCTTCCAACCCCCTAAACCCTTTTCACCATGTATTATTGACCTCAACAACTTATGAAATGACTCTCTTTCTCTCTCTAAAACTCCATCTCTCTCACATCATTGTATCTCTCTCTCACAAAACTCCATCTCTCTCTAAAACCCATACTACATCTCTCGCTCACATCATCGTCTCTCTCTCTCCTTAAAACTCAAACTTCATCTCTCTCTAAAACCCAAACTCCATCTCTCTCTCTCTCTCTAAAACTCCATCTCTCTCTCACACATAAGAAGTTGTGATTGTGTTCGTGTTCGTGTGCGAGCTCAAGCTAAACCCCTTAGTTGGTAAAACTCACCAAGAAGCGAAGAGGGAGAGATGCAGTTTTAGAGAGAGATGGAGTTTGAATAGGGTGTCATTTTAGTATTTGTTTGGGTAAAACATTTATGATCAAATGGGTCCAAGGGGTTGTAAGATAAAAAAGATGGAGACCTTTTGCTTATAAGTAATATTTTCAATTCTTGAGTCTCATGAGATATGGAAATTAAAAATAGGGGATAAGGAGATATTTTCTCTTAATTATATTATAAGAAGTTGTGGGGCCTTGAGGGGGTCAATTCCACATGATTTCTAGAAATTAAAAGAGAGAAAAGCTTATGCTTTTGCAATCTTAGCTTGGGATATAGAGAAGAAACCCTCGGTTTCTTCGAATTGTGCGTGTGTTTGGCTTTGTTCCTTTCTTATTTTATTGTTCCCGCAAATTCTCCTGCATCACATATGCACGAAAACAACTCCTCACAGGTTGAATGCTCCTTACATAGTATCAAAAGAAAAATGAGGGGCATACAATTCTCTAGCATCAAAGAATGGTGGGTATGTTGGTCATTGCTACAATAAATGAAAAACTGATGCATTTATGGTCCCACAAGAACAAAAAACAGTTGGATAGCTGCTGGTTTTCCCCTGTAGGTCCCCTTGCCCTGCCCTCACTAGCCAGGGCATTGTCTTCATGGTTTGCTGCCCACTGGATGTGAGGTTTAGCTGGCCGCAAAGATGAAATTTATGGTCTAAGAAAGGAATTGATCTCCATGGGCTTTGGGCTCTTTTCGAGGCCCAAAGCATGGTATTCTTGGAGTTACTCTCTACAATAAGGGGGCTACCAATATTCCCTATTTGGGGACTTTTTTCAAGCCTTTGAGCATTGTGATACTCTCAGTCATTGTTGAGTTGAAATTGCAATATATCCCAAACTCGAGAACAAAGTATACCCTAAGCAGTCTCCATGGATAGTTCTGAAACTAGCTGGTCCTTGGTTGCTTGGGGAACAATCGTCGATGTGCAATCCTTAAAAAAGAAAAAAGAAAAATAAATAAAATAAAAAAAGAATATGTTGAGGTGCATGCAACTCCGAAACAAAAAGAAAGAAAAAAAGGAAAAAGTGTGTATGCTAGACGCAACTTGTCAGGTATGGGCATATATGTAGCCCATGGTTCAACATGCCTAACAGGTGTGCTTTATGATGTAATTAGGGTGATACTTATTTTATATTATTAAGGTTTATTTCATAGTTACCAGAATCTCTCCACTGACCTCAAGATTCTAGTTCCGAAGCTCGATTCCGTGTTTTTGTTAAGGAATCTCCATGGAAACCATTTTTCGGAACCAAAGAAACTCGATTCCTTAATTTTGGAACCTCGATTCAACACATCTTTAGAAACCATTTTTCAAAACTAAGGACACTTGATTCCTTAATTTCGGAATCTTGATTCAGCGCTTCTTTAGATATCATTTATCGGAATCAAGGAAACTCTATTCCTTAATTTTGGAATCTCAATCCAACACATCTTTAGAAACTTGAACCCATTAATTCTGGGTAGACGTTGCCAAATATATCGAATTTGGATTCCAGCGAGGATTAAATCTTGATTCAAAAATAAATAAATTCTAAGTATCAAAGAGAAAAAAAACCAATGCAATATACATAATGTCCATCACATGTTTGTGATGGTTGTGCACTTCCTAAAGGAAATTGGAATAGAAATCTTCATTCGAATGCTTTTAGTGGTTGCAGTGTTTCATTATTTTACTGGTGCCACCCTAGACGGCCTTTACTTTAAATTTAAAATATAATTGGTTAATACAACACATGCAATTAAAAGTTAAACCATGGCACAAACATAATCCTATTTTGTCTTTATAGTAATGAAGTCAAAATCACAATTTAGAAATACTTAGCTTTTGTATATAATGACCGTAAGTTCAATAGCCAACACAATCACTTTAAAATTTGGGAAACCTTCTAATAAGAGACATCCAATATAGGTTCGAAAGTTGATAAGGTCAAGATGTGCTTGGGGCTTCGTTCTCCATAAAAATGAAATCTCGATTCCTGATGGAGGTCGTGAAACGCATTCCATATTCCATATTATTGTAAATCTCGATCCCAAATTGTTATGGCGCTTTGATCCATATACTTCAGAAACTGATTCCACATATGTCAAAATCACGATTTGAAACAGCAACATATCTCTGTTCCACATATGCTAGAAACTCGATTACATAGATGTCCGGAACTCGATTTCGCATATTAATGAATCTTGACTCCTGGAGTGTCGATTCCAAGGGGATGGGAATCTCGATTCCAAGGAGGATGGAATCTCGATTCCAAGGAGGATGGAATCTCGATTCCAATGAGGATGGAATCTTGATTCCATTTGTGGATGAAACTTAGATCTATTTCGGTCTAGACACGATTCTTAGAAACTAGGAATCTCGTTCCTAATGATTCCTAATGTACGGACAACGATTCCTAAGGCAGGAATCTTCTAGCCGGCCGTGATTCTGCGATTCCGGTTCCTAAAACGATTCAGGTTCCCTTGCATTTCCAACAACTATGATTTATTTCTTAGGAATCTGTAGGGTTAAGTTTGATTATTTTTCTGAGATTTTAGGATTAAGTCATTTAGTTTTATAAACATTAAATATTTTTAGGGTTTTGGGGTTTCTTTTGTTTCCAAATACACGATCTATTGTAAAGAAAGATGTAGAGAGAAGCTATTGGTTTTCTTAGACTTGATTTCTGTGGGGTGGCTTCCCTGCAGGTCACTGTATTTTTTCAAATATTCTTTATTTATTCTCTCCTCACTACGTGATTTGGCTTGTTTGGTGAGCATTAAAAACGTCATACCCAAGGCAAATGCATGTACCTCATGAATTCAATAGAATACACAAGGAAACATGCTCCAAAATGCCAGGCCAGTCATTCCTGTTGGGCATCTATCCATGCCTCAACATGGCGAACATATTTCATCGTGTATCCTAATGTGCAGAGTTTTCCCCTTTAAACTCCTCTACAGTATATGCATATAACATCGAGGAAAGGATTAAATGAGATTGACAATGCTTCATATTGGCTTTTTCTTTCAAATCTTGTGCATGATTAGAAGGACGATACCCTATCCTATGGATTATCGAGAAAAGAAAGTAAAATATAATGCTCCATTCTGTGATGATCTCATTTGGTTGACATGGATTGATAAGATCTTGGAAATTTTACAGGATGGTAATTCTGTTTGCTTATTCACTTGCTGGATCCTTTGGATTTCTCTATATATGACGAGACGTAACAAGGAAGTATAACATGTAGGGCAGCCGATGTTTACAGATGACATGGTGAAAGTTTAAAGGAGTAAGGCTGGAGCGTTTTTAAAAGAAATCTAGAAAGCCAAAAAAGCGTTATCTGTCTTCGACAGTGCTAAGCATAACTAGATGATGGCTTATTGTTGCATTCAATGGCACATAAGAAAGACTTTGTTCTGGGTGTGATAGGAGATGTCTGACAATGTGGTCCATTAATTTTACAGTGTCCCTTTCAAAGGGTAAATTGTTAGGGTTTCTTTTATTATAGGTGAGCCTTAGAAATCTAGAAGGCTTTGGGTTCTTTAGTTTTATATCTAATGGGTATAGGAGCGTTCTTTAGTTTATATCTAATGGGTATAGTAGCTGTTAGGTTCCTGCAAATTGTTTGTTTAATGATTTCTTTTTATCGGTTCGTTGAATGACTTTCTTTCCCTTCATTCTTGCAGTTCAGTAATTATACTTTGCAGATTTTTATCTTCTATTTGTGAAAGGTGTATTTTGCAATTTTGTATGATGTTTCTGATTTGAACAAGTTCACTGATTGACCACCTAGATGATTCTGATGTTTTCCGTGCTTTGTTGATTTGTTTACAGGTATGTTTCAATTGTGTGGCCGGATGTTCCTTATTTTTTAGTGTACAAAGTAAATGATTGGTCAGTAGTTCATTCAGGCATAGGAAGACTTTTTGCTTGGGATACATGTCGTGATAGATATGCTGTGGTGGAATCTGCATTGCCTCCAAGAGTGCCTCTCATTCCTAAAGGGACTTCCAGAAAAGCAAAGGAAGCTGCTGCAGTTGCGGCTCAAGCTGCCGCTGCTGCTGCCAATGCAGCATCCGCAGCCACTGTCCAAGTGCGTATTTTACTGGATGATGGGACCTCTAATGTTCTGGCACGTTCTATACATGGACGCAGTGAGCCGGTATGAGCATTCCTGTTGGTCATCTAAGTCTACGGTTTTCTTTTCCCTTTATATTTGCATCTTTTCTGTCGTGAACTGGGGTGGCCATCTTTTGTCTCATTTTAGATGCGGTTCTTGAGACATGAGTCCATCCTTTACGATCTCAATGATGTGATCATCTGCGGAATTCACTCTTTCATCACCTCTTAGTCAAATGGCAGATTGTAAAATGATGTTTTGCAGTTACAGAAGTGTTTGTACCATAGTTTCTAGGTCTCTAGGAAGTAGTTTGTGAAGTCCTGGCAGCACTGAGACATAGATGCTTTTGTGTAGGTATTTTGTGCAATATATATTAGAATGGCCATGTACAAACCATGGTTGTTGGAAAAGCCTGAGATTCGGAATCGGTTTAGGAATTGGAAGCATGGAATTGCAGCGGTTAGAAGATTCATCATGTTGGAATCACTGTATGTACAGTGCGAATTGCAAGAATCGAGATTCCTACTTTATGGGAAATGTGTCCCAACCCAAATGGAATTGAGATTCTTACCTCTTTGGAATCATGCATCAACCCAATTGGACTCGAGATTCATACATTTTTGGAAGCAAGTTTCAACCCAATTGGAATTAAGAATCCCTTAATATTGGATTGGAGATTCCCAATGGTCCTAAAGTATTGAGTGGCCTTAATCATGGTTCCCCACAAGGTATTGGAATCAAGAAAGTAAAAATGCGCAATTTGTTAATAATGAAATGTTAAAAAGAATATATTTATTTTGGTTTTGCAGATTTAGGAATGGTGTTACGTACATTTAGCAGATGCTTATAGGGTTCTTTGACACCGTTCATTTATTAAATAATAGTAGATTTCGGTAATATAATATTTCACTAGTCCACTAAGGAATTCATGATTCGTCGAAGCCTTCTTCCAACTAATTGGGGTTGGCTACATGAATCCTGGTCCACCATTTTGCAGTATTAAAGATCATACCTTGAGTACTGTAGGTTCAGGATTCATAGTAAGTTCTGACAAAGTTTTACGGTGGCTGGCTACCAAACACAACCCAGCCTCTTTACCCCGGGCATGGGACGGGTTAAGGGAAAGTCCTTACCCTTCTTAGACCAATGGAAAGTTATGTATACGCATAATTAATTAATATACAAAAAATTTTCCTTTTGAACACAAAAAATAATAATTGACTTTTATCTGGTGTTACATGGAAATCTATATGAGTGTTGCTGTCTCACATACGTGTAGCTTTCGGGCATAAAGAGTAGGACACATAGAATAATTTCACACAAATATTATTTGAAACAAATAATAAAAGTTCTCTCTAAATCATAAAATGTCCTTAGGTTAAGATTGGAAATCAGCTTAGTTTAGCAGTAGTAATCAGTAGTAAAGTGGGGGACCACACAGCACCTCTCCAAGAGGTCTTATGCCCGAGAACCTTGTGAGCACTTTTTTTGGTTTTATCTTTTAAGAGTCCGGAGGTGTCAACGCGTATTAGCATGCAACACCGGCCCTTTGCTGGACTGTTGCAGTAGCACGGCTTATATCCTTGTTTACAATGACATCTAATATCCTCTGGCTATAACTGTAAATCCAGACTGAATTCAATACCATCTCCCATTAATGCAGGTCTCAAAGGGAGTGATTGTGATGTGTTAAATCCACTGAATGCTGCTATGTTGCCACTAATAACATAACATAAACATGGCAACTGCAAATGATAAATATAAAAGATTAATAGGTATGCTTTCGAATCATTACAAACAGCATACTCCAAGCATAATTAGCTCCAGAAAATTTTGGAAAACTACCTCGTCACAAAATCATGAAATCTAAGGAATTGATGATTGTGTTTACAAAACATACAAATATTTTTAAAAAATACTGAAAATGAGATTTTGATTTTAATATATATAGTTGAAAATGAGAGTTTGTTCATCATTGTGATGCTCCATGTTGTAATAGAGTGGAACCAAAATCTCGTTCCTAGTTATCTTTAAAACAAGTAGCTGCTAAGTTCTAGCACTAGTAAATTGCGGTATGTGATGCTGTAGAATCTGGATTTCAAAAACAAAAAAAAGGAATCGGAATTCTATAAAGCTGGAAGCAAGATTTCTATGTTGATCTAATTGTCGTTCCACACACTTGTGATTCACAGTATTTGATGATGTAGAATCTGGGTTCCAAAAAAATCGAACTGAGATTTAATAAATATGGAATGGAGATTCTTAATTTCATGGAAAGGTGTTCCATGAAGATTCCTCTAAGGAATCGCTGAATTGGGATTTTGAAGTGGAATCATCACCTGGGTGAGAGATTTCCGTAAGTATGGTACAAACTACTTTTGTACATATGTATTTTTTTATCTTCACACTCGCTTGTGTCCTCATTCATGCATGCATGGGCTTTTACATACATATGTACATAATATACTGCGTGTGTCCACAAGAATGGGCTCTAGGTAGAGGTGGCCACAGTGGCAGGTGCCACTATTGATGTCTAGAGTTCCATTCTCACCATGTCCCATGTTAACATTCAAAAAGGAAAAAAAGAAAAAAAGGAATACTGTGCATGCTAAAGACCACATGAACGTACATATAAGCACAATTGCTTTGCTTTCAGCATCCTCAATTAGGTCATGAAGAAGCACATGGACAGTTCTGGAAGCTTAAACTGCAGGGTTTGCCAAGTTAAATTCCTTCAATCCTGCTGCTAGTGATAGTTCTCATTTTCTTCTTGTTGAAAGCGGATAATGAATGGCCTTCAGCCAAAGATTGCGGTAGTGTGGACCAAAGAATTTGTAGCATGTCACTTGGATGGAACTCATGGAACCGAGACGTCGGGCCTTTATGAAAGTCTAATGAGATTGGTTCTATACTTTCTGATGAAATGTGGTTGGCTTTTTAATTAACTTTAGCATCACACATGTTGCTATGTCCTTATCCTGTTTCTCTGCAGTTACAAAAAATTGTCATTTTTGTAGAGATAGAGAAATCAATATAGAGTGTGAATTATGTTTCCCATAAAAAATTATACGAACTGAATGCAATGTAAGAAATATTGTGCTCTGTTATTTACTGTGTATGTAGTTACTCACATTCATATGGTGTGGTAGGGTCAACTTTTACGGATAGTCCATCTGTTGAAGTATATTGTTTTTTTGAGACCATAAATGTGTGTTTATAATGGTAGTTCGCATTACGACTGATTAGTTGCATATTAGTTTGTTAGATATGTATATCGCTGTGTGTGAGGGTGCGTGGGGAAATTGTTTTGGGTGCATCCCCCGATGCAATGCAATAGTTGTGGCTTCATCATCTGCACCGTCTTTTGGAACGGGTAGTGTACATTACGATACATTTTCTAAAAAAAGGAGTGGAGGTGATATTTTCTAGAAAAAAGGAGTGGAGGTGATTACTGGTGAACTGGGGAACTGGTTTTCTCTTTTATTCAAACTGGGCCCATCATTTCCCTCATTGACCAGTCTCTCTCAACCACACCATTCCCTCACTCTCTCTCTCTCTTCTTCCCCCCCTCCCCCCCACCAGACCCAAAACCCACCCTCTCCTTTGTTGTCCCTCCCTCTCCCATCCTCCTCCCCCTCCAGGCTCTCTCTTCTCTCTCTCTCTCTCTCTCTCTCTAAGCACCTGTCTCTCTCTAACATCCTCAAGAGAGAAAGCTGCAGAGAAGTTTAGAGAGAGGAGACATAAATGAAGAGCTAGGATGCAAAAGCATCCAAACCAGAAAAGCAATGGCATATATTTATCCCTTTCTCCAAATCATGCATCAAGATGAAACAGTTGGCAGCATCTCTACCCCTATAGATGGAGAACAGACTTTATTTCACTCTTAATCTACAAGATCGGCACATGTTCCCTTTTTCTGGCAAAAAATCTGTGTGGAATCGATTTTCCACTAAAAATCTGGCGGGTAAGAAATTTCTAGCAAAAATCCATTGGAGAATCAGAAGCCTGATTCATTTTGTGTGTTTTGGGGGATCATGCAAGAATAACAGAGAGAAGGTAAAAGGCAAGAATGAATCAATTCAACATAGGTTTCCATTATCTAGTTTGGCGAGTTCCACTCTTCAGAGGTTTAAAATGATTTTTCTGGTGGATTTCTGGCGGATTTCTGGCCAAAATGTTTTCTGATAGGCTTCCCAGTAATTGGCTGGGGATGGGGTTGCAGGTCGAAGGAATAGAGTTGGCTGTTCCCCTTCTAGGCGGATTAAGATTTTTTTTAGTTCATGAAGAACATGAATGGTTGGTCACCGATGAGCATGGGTTGATACAGAAAGTTACAGCTAAAGTGATCCCAAGTGACTTGTCACCACCATTTTGTTTGGTGAGCGTTCCTTCTCAAAGATTGTGGATAAAAGAATCTCTATGTTCATGATAAATGATCGTTGAGAGCTACTTTCAATTTTTTCTCTTAGTCACATTTTTGTTTTTCTTTGACTTCTTTAAAGGCTTTCTGAGTCATGTACAGTTGCTCAATATAAGATACTCAATATAAATCTACATCTTTGTCTAGAGTCTAAACTGAGTTTTCTTGCATTGTATTTTTTAACCCCTCTCTCTCTTCTCCTTGAATGTAAGTTTCTCACTTTATGTTTCTGGAGAAATCACAGGGGAATAAAAACTAAAAGTTGTAATCACAAAGAAGGTGAGATCACTAGAACAAAGGACTATATGGTGATCGGGATGAAACATACTTAAAAACAGACCCTATGTAGTTTTTGGTTTTATAGAGAAAAAGGGGGCTTTGGTAGGTTTTGGGTTTTCGAGAGATTCAAGGTTAGGTTTTGAGAGAAAAAGAAGAAAAAGAAGGCAGAGGGGTGAATTTAAAAAAGGGATTCGGTAAAAGGAAGGGAATGAAATGTTGTCTGAAAAGAGGGCAAGGGCTACCCATTTCCGGTTGTCCCTAACTAGGTTTTTGTATGCACTCTGCACCTTCGAGATGGTGCGGATTCCGGGGGATGCACCACCACTTTGGTGTATTTGAAGGTTAAAATGGGACATTGGTAGGAATAGAGCTCTAGATGTCATGTTGTAATACCCCAGGCATCCTGCTGACCCAGGCCTAGAGGGCATTCCTTAGTTAATATGTATTTTACCTTTTGAATTCATTGTTTTCTGCTATATAGTAAATCGACTCCCAGTGGTGCACTGTTTTGTTCTCTCTATTTTCTAAAATTCAATGCTTCACTTTGATACTAGCCAACAAAGTGTCCAAGTATGTCAACCTTTCTGGATTTTTCTCGTTTATTTCGAGGTTTTTTATTTGGGTACGTACAAGGTAAGGAAGCATGACCTTCTCAATTCTAAGAATTTATTTATTTTGACTAATTATCATTACTTCTATATTTTCACTCATTGGATATGGCTGTTTTTTATGCTATATATAAGAAATGTCACTCATTAGCATGTATAATGATGTGTTATATGTGGGAGCTTATGTTTTCTTAAGAGTGGACACATATAGCATTATTTCTTAGTTCTCCTTATGGTTGCTTAATGTTTTTCTTGGCTTTCTCTTGCATTTTTAAGGACAATGTTTTACATAATTGACTTAATGATTTACCTGTCCTTCAATTGACTATGTATATCTTTGTCCAGTGACTTGATGATCTATTATTTATTTCCTTTTGTGTCATTTTACTAGGTTATTGGCTTGCATGGTGGTGCATTGCTTGGTGTAGTATATAGAGCAACACGAAGAGTGAGCCCTACCACTGGAACTGCAATCTCTTCTATTCAATATATACCGGGCTTTGGACATGGTGCTCATTCATCATTTACTCCTGTTGACGATGCCATGAAGGTCTCAACTGCTGAAATGTCAACAAACTTTCAAAACTTCGAGCTCTATAGGTGCGAAAAGGATAATTCTTTTTTAATGCTCCTCTTTTTGTTTTTTATTTATAGGAATCATTTTCCTTTTCTTTACTTATAATTGATATTCCTGAACTCTTCTGACAACAAAGTCGTGTTTTGTTTCACAATTTAACTGGATACATTGTGGGATGTCACAGTTGGGAAACCTATGAACCTGTGAGCACTCTTCTTTCTCAACCAGAATGGACTGCATGGGACCAGACTGTCGAATATTGTGCTTTTGCTTATCAGCAGTATATTGTGATTTCCTCGTTACGTCCTCAGTACAGATATCTAGGGGATGTGGCAATTCCGTCTGCGGTCAGTGGAGTCTGGCATCGAAGGCAGTTATTTGTTGTAACACCAACTGCAATTGAGTAAGATTAATTAACCAATCTACTCAACTAGGCCAACATAGGTTTTGGTGCCTAATTGAATTCTGACTTGCTTTTGCTTTCTAGATTATATCAAAAGTATCCAATAGGTGCTTGCTGCCACCTATGAGTGACTTGCATAAATTCTTATCTCCCTGATGTCTCTTGTGCCATGATATATACTCTCATTCAAAGTTCTGAGTAATGATTAGTGGTAATGTTTCCTGTGTACTAAGTAGACATTGGTGTGGCATGCGAAATAGTTTCTTGTATGAGTTTCCATTGGCAGATTTTTACTGACAGAGATTAGTAATCATATGCCGTCCAATTGACTTTACTGGTTATTTCCTTTAGATGTTTTGATCTTATCATCTTCTTGTTCCTCTTTTACTGGCACAGCATGTGTCTTCATTGTCTTGAGAGTTTCATATTACTTTTTAATTTAAAGGAGATGACCACTTCTTTATAGCATCTGAAAGGCAACCTATCCATTATACTGGGAAATTCCTTTTCTCAAAATACCTCTTAATCCCAGATCAGCTTGAAATCTCCCTTTCTCTCACAACCCTATTCTCACTTACTCTAAACGCTAAGATCTCCCTCCTTTCAATCTGAAGTTAGACCCAAATCTCTTTCTTAACCCTAATCTCTCTCTCTTTCTCACCAGCACCTCATATATGTATATCTATATATATGGACAAGGTTTCTATGGGTCCTAGGACTCATATGTAGAAATGTGTCCCCTCTTGAAAATCTATTTTTGAGATGGATTTAGGACCTAAACTTTATAGAATATAAATCTCTAATATGGAGATCATGAATATGTAAAAATAAATAAATTTTAAAAACTTAAAATTAATATTTTCATGAATAAACTATATCGACCTGTGATTTTAACTTTCTTATGCATCCATCTTTGAGATGGATGTTTTATGCCTCAGGGGACACAATTGTAGAAATCATCCCCCAATGCCTACGACAGTTTGGTTGAGAGAGAGAGAGAGGAGGGATCTCACCTTGTCCTATCTGACTGATTGTATAGGCTATATTGGGCGTCTCTATTATCAAAACCCTAATTCCACATTAATAAACCAAAAAAAAACTAATTATACAAAAGCCTTAATTTCTCTCGTCCTTCCACTCCAACGCCCTAATTTCTCACTGACATATTGCAGCCCTCATCTCCAAGTCTGGGCTCTTTCTTATTGCAAACATAATTTCTCAGAATCCGTAGTTCTTTTGTTCCTTTCCACTAAAAAAAACAAAAATAAGTCCTAATTTCAGAAACTTAAAATTTATCCTTAGCCCTTTATTTCTCGATTAATATACCATTTTATTCCTCCTTTCTTCTACTGTATTTTAACCCTTGTTCTCCCTTTTACAATAATATCGGATCCATTATCTATGGTCACCACCAAGTTGACCTCATCTAATTTCATATTATGGAAGGGCCTCATTGAACCCTTGGTCTGTCACGTATGACCTATTGGATACCTATATGGATCTTCTAATCCTCTGTCCATACTTGTCACAAAAGAAGAGATTGACAATAATGGGCAGTGAACATTGTTTCGACAAAGATTGCGTATGAAGACTGGTTTGCCAACAACCTACAACTTAATGGATGAATCAATGCTACTCTTGAGGAAGAAATTCCAGCAGCAATTATTGGAATGCGAAATGCTACAGATGTATATAAGGCTCTTCATAATCCCTTTTGTAAGAAACAGGCATGTGTGATGCACTTGAGGTTTTCTCTCCAGCAATGCTGGCAAGAAAAATGGCAGTTATAGAGTGTTGCATTAAAATCAATGGGCTTTGCAATTAGCTTGCCAAAGTCAAGTGCAACTTTGTTTTGTTTCTCAATTGACTCGAGTGCAAGTCAAATTTTGTATTTTAACAATTTTCTGTTTTATTGAAGGATCCATTGTTGGGGACTCCATGCACTTGAGGGGATCGACAAGGAATTTTCTGTTTTATTGAAGGATCCATTGTTGGGGACTTCATTCACTTGAGGGGATCGACAAGGACATCTATATGTCGTGGATGATCATTAGAGGAAGTTTCCATTACTACTATCTTCATTCCTAGTAAATGTTGATGCCAATGTTTGGTATCACTGTCTGAGGCTTTGTAAAGAGGGTTGATCCCCTCATCACCCAAGAGTTGAACTTCGTTCAGTTGCCATACTTGTCACTTGGGTAAACATTCCCAACTTCCTTTTTCTCATTCCACTAAACGAGCTTTCTTGCCTATTAAATCATTCCGGTGTATGTGGACCATCACTGGTAGCTTCTTCTTCTCACTTGAGATTTTATATAATCTTTGTGGATAATCAAACTTGCATCTACTTTCCCAAAGAGAAAACCCAAGCATTTAATACTTGTATACAATTCAAATTTTTTTAAAAAGTCATTTTTATAAACCAGCTCTGTTTTCCGAAGTAGTGAATGGGTGAGATCTCATCTCTTGTTTCCGAAGTAGTGGAAGTAGCCGACCCCAATTAGTTGGGAAAAGCTTTGACGTTGATGATAATGATGACGTACTCTACAATAAAATGGAGTGGCAAAATGAAAACATCACCATCTTTGTGAGGTTGCCCTTTCTTTGTTCTCTAGTGGGGCACCAAAGTAATTACAGATTGAAGCCTTTCATACAATTGTTTACATTGTAAAGCGACTGCCCATGATGTTTTGATTGGTTGAACTCCTTATAGTATGTTTTATGGTAAGAATGCAAATTCTTCGATCTTTTGGATGTTATGCTTATGTCCTAAAGACAAGATCAAAGAAAGGAACTCTCCAAAGGAGAAAGAGTGCACCTTTGTGGGTTGTGAAGGCTATGCAGTTAGAGCCCTAACTTAAACATGTCACCATCTCATGACATGTTAGTTTTGATGAATGAGGATGAGCAATCCACTTAAGGTAATCTTATCTCAAGCATAGTGTGATTCTGACAAGGAATCTTCATAAAAACCACTTCCTAGAACTTAGGAATCTCGATTCCGTAAGTTGAGAATCTCATTTGTGTAATCTCGGTCCCAAATTTTTTCATGAATCTTGATGCCATTATTTGTGTAATCTTGGTCCCAAATTTTTCGAATCAATTCCAACATTTATTGAATCTTGATTCCATGTCTGTTTATTCTTGATTCCACACGTGATAAATCTTGATTCGTTATGGTTTTGAATCTAGAATCTACAACATAAAATACTTGCGTTCGTAGGAGCAAGGACCTTGATTCAATCAACATGGAATTTTTCTTCTACCTCCATAAGATACTTGTTTGATGTCAAAATCTATCTCTACCCATGTGTTATTTTTTAATTCATACAATAATATATCCATTTGTGTGCTTGATGTTTATACTGAATTTCTCCCCTATCACAATGGCATAATGTGAATGCAAGCAAAAATAAAAAGTAAAAAATATAATAAAAAAACAATTCGAAGTACATAACATCCAATTTCCTGAATGGTTACCACTTTTTAAAGGTAATTGGTGTAGAAATCTTCATTCGATTCGCATGCTTGTAATAATGCTAAGATCGACTCGAATCACATTTCTAATAGTGCTAGGATGGATTGCCTTTCCTTTAAAGTATAATTGGTAACTACAACGCATACAATAAATGCCATGGCACAAAGAAAATCCTATTTTGTCTGTATAATAATGAAGTCAAGATTGCAATTTAGAAATACATTAGATAACATTTGTATAATTTAAGATAACTTCCCTAGTGGACTACTTGACCCTAAGTTCAATAATCAATACAAGGACTTCAAATCTGAGGAACCCTTCTACAATTCTAATAGGATACATTTGATGTCGATTGCTTAAATAACTTCTTAGTCGATAAAGCATGAGATGTCGTTGATATATGAAAATTGTTTTTATGGGGCTTCGTACTTGACTCAATGGAATTACAAATCTTGATTGTCAGTTGGGATCAAACTCGACTTTAAGTTAATATGATTCCCGATTCCAAATTAGCATGAATCTTTGTTCCACATTTCAAAAACTAGATTCCAAATACATCGGAATCTCGATTCCATTTTTGTCAATTCTTTATTCCCAAAAAAATAGGAATCTCGTTCACTACGATTCCCATTGTACGAACGCCGATTCTGAAAACAAGAATCTTCTAGCCGGCTGTGACTCACCGATTCCGATTCCTAAAGCGATTTGGGTTCTCAGTCATTTCCAACAACTATGTTCTCAAGAGAATTTCAACAAGGGTACAATTCATAGCACTCAAGATCCGTAATGAGAGATGAAGTTATCTTGTTTGGGCTTGCTCCCAACAATACTCATTAACTTAGCACCATTGATGAGAGAACGCCTCATCACATAGGTGGAGATTTTGAGCACCTTTTTGATGACGACACTCCATCTAATGAGCAACCTAATGCTGTGACTAAAGAGGTAATCGTATATTAGAGATGACTTCCCAATGAGCAGCCCAACATTGCACAAGGAGGTGATTATATATCATAGATAGTACTAGAGTAGACAGCATGATGAGATCATGGCCAGCAAGTTGGATGAAATAGAAGGGCAGCAAGCAGAAAATACACAAATACCGGGGCAGAAAGGTGATAATGCTGAAAATATGGGTGTTGGGTCTGCAGGCAGCACGCTGAATATGGAGAGGCTGCCACAATGAATGACGATAGTGCAGTAAATCAAAGCATTCATTGATCTATCCATATCTTTCATCCTATAGGTGGATGGATAAGCTATGGAAACTTCACAAGTGATTATTCAGCATTTATATAAAATGTCTTAAACTAAGGAGCCTACCAGCTATAATGTGGCAAAAAGCAAACCAATGTGGGTTGAAGCTATGTCCTTCGAAAGAAAAGCCACGTTCTGGAACTACACATTGTGGGCAACAAATTGGTATACAAGATAAAGTAGTAGTTCGATTGTTGGTATATAAGATGAAGTGCTAGTTGAATGGCAGTATCGAATGATTCAAAGCTTGATTAGTGGTAAAAGG